TGTCGGGCGGGATCCCGGCAGCGAGGAGGCGCGGGGCTCTCTGCCCGCACCGCTCTTTCCGCTGCTCTCCGGGACCTGCTGCAGAGCGCGGACCGGATCTCGGGCGGTCGGGGATTGCAGGCTGACTTTTTAACATCTCTAAGCTCAATCGGGATTCGGCAGTGCCGGCTAGGGGGTTTGGATGCCGATGTCAATCTCTTCAGAAAACGTCCTGCCTAGAATGTCTGAAGTACTTCCATGATTTCCCATTGAATTGTCCCGTAGCAATGCGTGCCCCTAGCCCTCTATGTGATGATGGAAAACATGAGTAAAAAGACATTCCTGGATTTTTTTTTTACTGTCTTCAGCATTATAGCAAGTTGTTTGTTGTTTCTTTTGTTTTCCAGTTGGGATGAAACTCATTTTGGGAAGATGGGAAGTTACTACATTAATCGGACCTTCTTTTTTGATGTCCACCCCCCTCTGGGGAAGGTAAACAGCTCTTCTGTTAGATGTTTTAGAAGCTACAGTAGTGGGCCAACAAAAGTTTTCCCCTTCCTTCTGGCTGAAGGATGTGATGAGCAATACCTTTCCTAACTGTTATTGGCATCGTAGTAGCTTGCATTCTGTTTCCAGAGCCTCAACTGGCATCTTTTCTTGATGAAAATACTTTGAATATGGGAAAACTAACCAGTATTGCATGCTGGGTATTTGCAAGGTTTGAAATGAAAAAACAAGCTTAGCACTCATGGGGTTTGGAGGGGATATGTGATAGCAGCCTGTAGTTCAGAAGGAGCCAGGCGGTTCATGGTGTGCAGATGAGAAGCCTACCACAATGGACCCTGAAAGCCTTGACTTGGTCTTCTGTAACTGAAGAACTAGTTCTAGCAGCAATGTGCAGTGTTGCTGAGGGTGCACTGCTGCCTCAGAGAGGTTACCTTCCTTTCAGGCTGAATGTCCTTCAGCTACAGGAATAGGGAGTTATGGGAGAATCTACAAGATTCTTTCTGCTAAATCTCACATCTGGTATTTCCTTTGAGATTGTAGTCAGCAGCCAAAGTCCTTTTGATCCCTTCTGATTTTCCCTTTAGACAAAGGACAATATGTATGCATATGAATTCTGTACATAAACTCGTTTGGATGATGTATCTGAATTAAGTAGTTATTTTCTGGGACAGATGTGGGTTTTATAGAAATCCTACCTGCTGCTGGCTTGGATACTTCTTCCTCCAATGCCATTTCCCTGATCATTTTTTTCATCTTTCCTATTCAGATGCTGATTGGACTTGCTGGCTACCTTAGTGGATATGATGGTACATTTCCTTTCCAAAAGCCAGGGGACAGATATGAGCATCACAACTACATGGGAATGAGAGGGGTAAGGCTCTCCAGGCTAGTGTCAGGCTGGTTAGATCTCCTGTGCTTTTCAGTACAGTGTTATGTCATAAGAACAGTTCTCCTGGATCAGATTAGAGGTCTGTTTAGCCTTCTGCCTTGTCTTTAAGCTCCTTAGAAAACTGTTAGTGGTTGTATTGTAAGTCTTAATGTCTGGCTGTAAGAGGCCAGGTGAGAAAGTAAGGTGATTATTGAGGCCAACTCTTGGCTGCTAATTAGTAGGACTACACGTCTGAGTGGGACAGGTACCTTACCTGTTCTGCAAAGGAAACACTGCTGAGCTTGGGCTTCTGCCCACTCCGTTGTGTCTGGCTGCTCTTCTGGGGAGCCAGGGGTGTCAGAAAGCCCCAGGATTGTCCTGTCCACCTCCTCCTGCAGTTTGCCACCACCAGTGGTACGGAGCTGAGTAAGCTGATGGAGCAGGTCATGGAATTACTCTTCAGAGTGATATTCTGTCTGAATCCCTGGCTGTACTGCTATCTAAGATGGCCAAGAGCAGTGAAAGTGACAGCACGACAACGCGATGCTCACCTTTGGGAGGGTTACGGTGTCTCTTGTGATTTTCTTTTCCTGCAGTTCTGCGCATTCCTGGGCTCCTGCCTGGTTCCCTTTGCCTACCTCACAGTGTTGGAACTGTCAAAGTCACTGCCAGCAGCCTTACTCACAGCTTTCATCCTTATTTTTGGTAGGTGTTCCTGCTACAGCAAAATCGAGCAGGTTAATTGCTCACAGAATTTAATTTCTGGCTTATCTTGAGTTACTTAGCCAGAGGATATTGACGTTACCGAGAGAGGTTCCCAAAAGCCAAGTAATTCTGCTTTGTCTATTTGAGACTTTTTAATTGGTGGTCCCCTTGAGAATTCTGTAGTTTTGTTTAGTTTATAGTTACTTATGTTATTTGCATAACCACAGCATTGGACTACTTTTCACCTCAATTTTAAAAATTTTTTTAGGATGGATGGTCAGGAATGATTTTGCCTGCTAGTGAAGTATATATTGATGTCTACCCTGTGAATTACAGAGGTATTTAACAACCTGCTCCATTACTGAGGAAGAGTTCACAGTAAGGAATTAATAAAGTTCCTTGTTGAATTGAGCCAAGTGGAGAAATTAACATTGCAAAGGGAGTTACTCAAATTGGGATTTTGTGAAGGGACACAGGTATTGAAGCACAGACACTTAAAATACCCAAGTCATATTCATTTTTTATAGGTAACATCTGAGAGATGACTTCTGTAGCATACTCTGGCACCATGCTGGTGCCTTAGTAGGTAGATCATTACTGTCTGCAGTGATCTCTAGCTGGGTGTGTTAGCAGCACTTCCCAAATGGTGTTTCACAGATACTGTTCTGCTGCTTGGTTTTTGTGAGGATTTTTTTTTTTTTCATTTGTAGAAGTTGAAATGTTCTCATCTTCTGTTTCTAAAATGTCCCTTGTTCCCCTTGTCTTGACTACATTGAGGAAACTGGCTTCCTGCAATCTTAGATTCACTTTGGAACTGCAAGTCTTTTGACATTGTTGCGTGTCTCCTTGCAGATACAGGCTGTATTACTTTGTCCCAATATATTCTGCTGGATCCTATTCTGATGTTCTTCCTCATGGGAGCTGTTCTGAGTATGGTGAAATGTAACAGCTGTGCAGATAGGTAAGATAAAGATGATAATTTTGTTGAACTGTGGGTACTCGGCTTTCACACAGGTAAAGTACTAGAGAATGCCTTCCACTAGATAATCTGGGTGAATAGCTGAGGTGAGATTGTTTCAGGAAATTTGGAGGTGAAAATGGCTTATGGTGGGGGAGAGAAATTTTTAGTGTGAGGGTTTGTGAAGCTAGTTAGAAAATACCATAGTTGGGGTAAACCAGGAGAGAGACTTAAATACGTTATCTTAGCATGAAAGGAAATTTCAGCAGCAATAATGTTTATGGAATGGCAAAAAGCTTGAAAATGAAGATTAAAGCTTTCTAAAACTTGACAGGAAAGAAAGCTAGCATAGTGTTGCATGTTAGAGAAGGAGGAATGAAGGATGGTTGTAACCTGTTCAAGACTTTGCTCTTTAATGGGAAAAATATTAACCCGTTCTCTTGAACCAGTTACTTTGTCTCCAGGCTGGAGAAACACAGTTAATCTGTGACTATAATCCTATAAGCACTTACAAAATCCTGCTAGCCAAAGTAAATAGTGTAATTTGTTTGATTTAGAGAAATTGGTACCAAAGATTTGGGGGAAACATAGCCAGGATGTTTCTAAATGATTTAAAGTAGTCAGTTTGCTGAGGATATTTGCTGTGGACCCATCCAGTGGGGATGGTGGTTTATGGGTATTTGGACACGTCAGAAGGCTTCTTTGTGTCTGAGCAGTGCAGAGTAGTTTCCCCACAACATATCCAGAATTCAAAGACACAAAAGGTTAGAGTACTGTGTTACATATGAACAATTTCTTTTTCATGAAATGTTCAGGAGCTGATCACACCTGTCTTAGTGTGACTGCAGCACACGTGGCTAAAATGCAGCGTTGTGTTGGGCTGTCCAAGGCCACCCTCACCCACAACACATACTGCAAGGAGTGCAAGTACCGAGTTACAGGGCAGTGTTTGATCGGCTCTGAGTGTCTTGACCTGAACATTTTCCTTGTGCCTCGGAGCTAATCCTGTTCTCAAACCACTTGACCATATGCAAATTAAAAGCCAGCTATTGTGTGGCTTAGCAAGTAATGGGGATTCTGTCTAGTCAAGATGCAAGCATCAAGGCATCATGAGTCAGTAGGAAGAGGGTTTTAAATTTTGCTATCATCTCTTCTCATCTTTTCTCTGTGGTTCAGTTTCAGTTTAGTTTTTAATTTGTTTGCTTTTTGCTGCAGCTTTTTGTGCTTTGTGTAGATGTTTTCCAACATGGCCTCTCTGCTTTAGGAAAAGTGGCTGCTCTCTTTCTCCTGATCTCGCCCATGTCCTTATTATTTTGAGAGAAGTAAGTTTGGATTTATGGAGTATAAGTCCTGCTTCTATTTTCAGACATTCCATGTGCCAGATTTTATTCACACAGGTCTTTTAGCTTATACCTGATGTCTCCGTTCCCTCCCTTAAAGAGAGATCTAGGGCTGCCCAGGCTTAAGTGTGGAGCCCTTCTGAAGCCTGTATCTAGGCTTCACAAACCTGTATCTGAAGCCAGTATCCTTTCATCATTCTAATATTAATGAGAAACTTGCCTGTCTATTCCTCATGGGCTCCTGAGAATATGGAATATAGTTTTGCAGAGTAACTGCTTTGCTGTTTATTTTCCTGATTGCAGGTGCCCATTCATGTAGCCATCGTTTATTTACTGAGCTGTTCTGTCTGTCCTGCAGGCCCTTTTCTGCCTCCTGGTGGTTCTGGCTGAGTCTGACTGGTGTGAACCTTGCTGGAGCAACAGGGGTAAAGTTTGTTGGCCTTTTTGTAGTCCTATTGGTTGGCCTAAACACAATCTATGACCTGTGGGACTTGCTGGGGAACCTCAGCCTGTCGCTGGTGAGTGTCAAAAACTTTTCTTTACATTAAGGGTTTCTTTGTTTTATTTGGTTTGTAATTTGCCTAGATTTTGATAACTGTGTAACTAGCCAGTGATAAATACTCTGTCTCCAGCAAATGGGCATCCGAGGTGGGTGATGATAATTGAAGATGAAGGGTATAATGGAAAAATTATTGCCATACATTTGAAAAAAAAAAAAAAAAAAACAAACCCAAAAAACAAACAAAACCCCAGAAACACACTTGTTAACAGGATTTAATGTTGTAAGAGCACAGCAAAAACGTTGTTGCTTTTTCCTGACAGAAACTATTGCCTTTCCAGTTGGATCATTTTTTTTCAGCCTTGGCCAAAAATGCTCATAGGGAATGGCTGTACAATGGTCCAAAGCAAGATGTTGTCCTGCACTGTTGCATGACCTGAGGAGCACATGCCACCTGGCAGGAAGGCATGTCTTGCAGCACCCAGTTTGTATAAGCAGCATGAACTCAGGCTCTACTTCATGAGAGAACAGAGGCATAGGCTGCATAACAGTATCATGCTGTAGTTCACCACAAGTCACAGGAATGCTCTGCAACTGCCAGTCTCCATAGCCCATCCTGAGGATGAAGGCAGCCATAGCCTGCCTCATTTCACACACTTGATTTAGTTCTTAGAAGCTCCAAGAAATTTGCTACTGTGTTTTGAATGCCCTGTTCTAATACAGTGCATTTTGTATTTGGCAACTGTAAAATCTGCTACTGGAGAAATAATTTGATGTACTGTTTGCTGTCTTGCAACTAGTAGGAAAGCAAATTCTTCAAGCACATCTTTTAAAAGGTGTTCGGTTCTCCTCTTGTCACAGCTTGAAAATTGTATTTCTGTCACTTACTGTTTTTGTCCTGTTTGTCTCATAAACAGCGGGGGTTTTGGGGTACTTCTTCTGTTCCTGCTGTGTGATTTTTTTTCTCTGATTAATGTGAATCAATATGGGCTGAGAAGATGCAATGTTCCAGCTGCAGAGAAGCACTTCTTGAGCAAAGTCAGTTAATTGCATTTGAAATGGAACAAATCCATCATGTCTAAGCTTTCTGCCAGCAGATGGCTGCACAGTGATTTCATTTGTACTGCTGGCAGCAAAGGCAGCAAGCCCCTGAGTGTTAGAATATGTAAAGAAATTTACTCCAGAAGGTAGATGCTTTCTGAATAACTATTTGGCAACTTTGGTGCTTGAGGGAGGGAAAAAAAAAGGTGAGGATTAAACCCTTGAAAGCCTGAATAACTTATCTCTGCATTTGTTAGGAAACTACTCATGATTTCTAGAATTCTCAGCTTATCCTTCTCCACTGTTCTGGTTTGCTCTATGCAGTCCTTCATGTGCCTTTTCTCTTTGGACTTTGCATGGAAGTATGTAGTTAAGGAAGACCTTTTCACAAAGATTGAGGTATATTGTGGTTGTTGTGAGCAAGGAACTGGAGATTAGTTCCTGTGCCTTTCCACATCATCAGCTTGGATATGTATCATCAATCAGCATTTTTTTTTCCAGTTCCCAGTGGTTATTAAGTGTCCTGCTTTTTTCTACTTTGAAGTTAGATGTGGACATTTAGCAAACAATTTTTGCTATTTAAGTGTTTCTTCTTCCACAGCTATTTGTTACCCACACTGTATTTTACATTATTTACTACCAGCAGTATCAGTAGGATGCGAATACGTAAGTGCTTTTTGGGCATCTGTGTAAAAACCACCTTTCCCAAGTGGTTTAGATAAAATACTGAGGCAGCTGAAATGGATTTTTCCAATGACTTTTCTGTAACTTCTGTCTGAGCAGTTACAGAAGCTTCAGTGTGAGAGCATCCTTGCTAAGTGAGCTGGTTTCTGTGCATGAGGCATGTCTAGGTCCCCAAGAAGTCCTGGTTACATTCACATTTGCACAGGGAGACTTGTTGGGAGAACAGGTTTTCTTTTTCCCTTTTGCTTAGCTTGGACAGTTACTTCTGCAAGCCATCTTCTTGCTGTGATTTTGTGTCAAGTTATGTGCCACTCTGATAAACTCTGATAAGGTCTTTCTTTTCAAAGTATTGTCAATGGAAGCTGCCCAGCCTCCTTTGCCAGAGTTAGGGATGTTCAGCACTTTGGAAAGTTAAACTCCACTATTGCTTGTTTTTTGTCTTCCTCCTAAGACTCTGAAATTTCAAGGTACCACAGCTCCAGCTTTTGGAGATGCACAACAAGGTCTGCCTAAGCTTTTACCTCTCTCTAGGCCTCCTTGAGGTAATTCTGCAGCCTGCTGAGCTTGCTTGCATGGCAGGCTTCAGCTATAGGACTGCTGATCAGAGTCCATGAAGTAAGGAGTACAGTTGTTCATGCAGCTGCACTGTTTGATGCAGATTTTGTTTGTTACAGGTCATGTTTGGGAAGCATTTACTGGCTCGTGTGCTCTGCCTCATCCTGCTCCCACTTGCTCTCTACACGGCTGTGTTTGCTGTTCACTTTACAGTATTAAATAAAAGGTATTTCACAATGTTTTCTCCAGAAGAATCACTTGTCTTTGCTTTGAATTAAAGGCTACTGATTATTATTCCTCCACTTTCAGTGTTAGAAGCACAGCCACAGGCTGTGTCTTTGTTTAATTTCCTTCCTAGACTCCTGCATTGTTCTTACAGAAAGGCTCTAGCCAAGTTGGCAGAGAAACTGAATTTGAGCTTGAGACTTTCTGAAATGCCAAATAAGTATCCTAACCAAACTCTCTGTCTGCTTTTATTCCTCATCTCTTTCCTGGACCTGAAAATGTCTCAATGCTATTCTGTTTGGTTTTGTAATAAAAAAAAAAAAAAAAGGCATCACATTCCTGAAAAATGCTTTGGCTGTGATTAAAAAGTAAGTCTGTGTGACTTTTCTCTGAGTGCCTGTAAGCAAGGGATGCTTTTTATGTGGAAAGAGCACAACAGCTAGTAAAACGGCCAAGTAATGTTTTTCCATGTGCCTGCCAGCATTAAGAGATGAGGTGGATAAGCATTTCAGCGTAAAGAAACAATATAAAATTAAATCTGTTATTTTTCAGCTTGTCAGTTGGTCTTATGACCAACCTCTTAGCAGAAGTGGGACTTAAGGAGCCACAGAGAGAGGTTTTGTTATATCTAACCTGACAGTGAGTCAGTTTGTTTGTCATAAGAACACCTCCAGAGATCATTGATGGTGCTTTATGCAGTGCCAGGTCTAGGTGACCTGAAGTCCCTGCAGCTCTGGACAGTTTCCTGCAAGACTGTCTCTGGGTGCTGTGATACACATTAGAGGTGTGTGCATTTAAGGGAACTGCAGCCATTCTTCTTGTTTTATTGTTTTCCTTCTGTAAAAACAATGTAGTAATGTATGACAAAGCTTTGTATGCCTGTTTTGCCAGACTTGGAATTGTCACATTCTTTGCTTGCTTTTGCAGTGGTCCTGGGGATGGTTTCTTCAGTTCAGCATTTCAGTCTCAGCTGATTGGGAACAATCTTCATAACGTCTCCGTTCCAGAGCGTGAGTGTCCAAAGGAGTAAACCACTCTGGAGTGCTGTCCCTGTAGGTGGGAGCTTAAATAAAAACAACATCTCCTCTGGCTGAGTTCAGGACAGTGCAGGTTGTGCCTTTGTGGCCATGGTCAGATGCATGCTGTTCTTCTGTGTGGTTTTATGTATCATCAAAAAAGGCTGAAAATAACACCGTGTTTACTTCATGGTCACTAGCGTTTCATCATACTTCTAGAGGGAAAGATACCATTTTAAGCAATTTAACAGGCTTGTGTGCATACATCTTGTTATCTTTTGTGCCTCTATGTTGTTTGAGGCAACAAAGGGATTTGTCCTGTTTGCCTTAGGTTTGTAGGTGTTCAGATGGGGGATTTGTGTAAATGAAAACTATCATCTCCTTTGTGACAGCATTCCCCTTGTTTGGCAGTGTTGTATTCAGCATGCAGATGAATTTAGGGAAAGGATGGCTCTCTGGTAGTTTCCTAATCCTCAGCTTGGCTAGGAACTACTGTGCCTTAATATGATTTTGCTTTCTGATTACTTCAGCTTTACTCTGGCTGTTCCTTGCTCCAGAGCTGCTACTGGGAGAGCACCAGGTCCATTCTCTCACTTGTGCTGGGATGTTTTGAAGGAAGATGTCATAAGCTCTGCTGTCTGATAGCTGAGCTTGCCTCCCTTCCATCTTGTATTGCTGTAGGGGTCCAGCAGTGGAGTGCTTCAAAGCAGTCACGTGCTTTTCAAACTTGGTCATGTTTTAATTTCACCGTGTACTCTTATGGAAAGCTATTTCACACCTCTCATTATTGAAATTACATACAGAAAAATTAGCACTTCTGTTTATGTTAAAACTAGGTGGGAGAATGTCAAGTGTTTCAGGGAGATCTTATGTAACAGTTTTACTGAATTGTGGCTGAGGATGGAAGAGAAGCTTGCAGTGAGCTGTGTGGAGTAAGGTGTCAAACAGGAAATGAGCTGTCATCAAAACAGAGCAGGAGAACACACGCCTGATCTGAGCACTGCAGACTAGCTGGGGAGATACTTACAGGAGAGCTGCCTTATGCCTTTTCTCCTTCTTCCTTCCCATGTAGACTTGGCGTATGGGTCTGTGGTCACAATGAAGAACCTTCGGATGGCAGGGGGATACCTTCACTCCCATTGGCACCTCTACCCAGAGGGCATTGGGGCTCGCCAGCAGCAGGTCAGTGTGCTGTGGGAGAACTGCCTCTGACCACAACCATCAGCTGGCTCCCACTGCACTTAGCAAGAGGGGATGGTGTGACAGGAGCTGTGTCACTCAGCATCTATCACCCTCACCATGCCACAGCTGCACACTTGGCTGGGAAGTCCGAGTAAAAAGGATGCTTGAAGAGAGCCTAACACATTGCATCAGGGAGGTGACTTACAGTAACAAGGCTTTGTTGTAGTAGCACAACCACCCCCCACAGATGGCCAAGAGGACTTAAAAATAGTCTTCCGTAATGAAAGTGCTGTTGTTATCTCAGGGAAGGCTATAAGCCCTATGTTTAAAACAAGTCTATTACTTTATCTTCCAGGTTTCATTGCTGTGTTTGAAAAACATCAGAACAGGACAGCTGTGTGCTGTTTCTATTCCTGACACTGGCCTCTGTGACCTTACACGAATTACTCTCCTTCTGTGCCTTGCTTTCCTCATCTGCCACCAAAGAATTTGTAGGGCTTTGCTGATTACGTTGGATATCTGTACATTCATAAGCTAGGCATAATGAAAGTATCTGAACTTGCTAAGGGCTTCTGATTAAATGATTAATGAATAAATCAAAGTGAAAACCAGAATCACATAACTATTGCTAATTAAGTAGTACAAATCAAGTAAATTTCCTGGTTTTGTCTGTCATCATCAAGCTTCACAAGTCTTTGCAGCTTCTGCAGCTTTCACAAGATGTATTTTGCAGCTTGCATATTAATGGCTAAAAATTGTTCTGAGCTCCTTGGAAGAAAGTTGAGAGAGGAAAACGTGTTTGTTTTTTAACTCCCTTCAGTCTCTGTGGTGAGGAAGGAGTTTTCAGAAATGAAAACTTTGCCTCAATCTTCTTTTCCTGCTGTTCTTGCCAATCAAAAATGTTAATACTTAATGTGACATTGATGTTTATTACCAAAGATGGAGATGTCATAGCAAAACTGGCTCAGGGATAGGAAAAAATCAAGTGCAGAGCATGCTTTATGCTGCTAAAAGCAGTAAAGGGAGGTTTGGAGAGGATGCTGATGGGAGTTTCTTTGAGGGTATGTGGGAAAGGGTGGAGATTTCCCCCCTTGTGCTCCATATCCTGGAGGTAGCACAAGGGTAGGAGGCTGGGAGAATCTGAGGGGTGTGTGGTGGGGAAGGGAATTTAGAACTTGGAGGAGATTTAGGGAGGAAAAGATGGAGACCGTGATCTCTCTGCCTGCTCCTTATCCTCCTTTCCTGGTGATACAGCCTCAAGGTATAAGATCCCACCTCAGGCTTTCCCTTTTTCCCCACCCACAGGCACTCTGTATGTTCTGCCTTTCAACCACCCACTGGACCTTCTGCTCCCACCTGGGTGGGAGGCACAGCTCTGTGACTGGGCTAGGGTCCCACAGAGCAGGGCTTGCTGCTGCTGAAAGAAAAGACTGACCAAAGTGGGCACAGTTCCTCATGCTGCTCAGGAAGGTTGCTTTGAGGAGCAGCACCCTAGGGCCGCATGGTCCCCCCTGCCCATGGTCATAGTAGGAGCAGTTACTCTGAGGCTGAGCAGATGGGTAAGGATTAGCTGGGTAGTGTCTGTAGCTTTAACATTTGATCCCTGAGTCCTTCTTACCTTGTCCAGATCTTTTGGCAGAAGTATTATGGTTGTCACAGGCAGCATGTTGTCGTAAATCTGTACCAGTGGTGCCTGTCTGTGAAGTCAAACTGTTTCCGTCTCCTGGGTCTGGTCAGTGATTATTCAAAAAGTTGAGGTTTGGATAGCCTGTCATAGAAGGAACCACTGAAGTAGGGTGAGAGGAGGTTGAGCTGTGTGGTTGGAGGCTGTTAGGACGCACATGAACCGCTGTTAAGTGTAGTGCAGCTGAGTGTACAGGCTGCACGCTGAGTAAAAGGTGTCATCTGGGTTGAGGAGTGGCCCATAGCTGGCTTTTTAGGGAACACTATCATAAAAGTCATCCCAGGCTTTCTGTGTTATTGGTACATTCATTTGGGACTTCAGTTTGCTGGTGAATGTGTGTCTGCTATCACCACCTTCTTTCTTGTTTGGTAAAATAATTTATCTTCTGCTTTCAGGTTACTGCATACTTACATAAAGATTTGAATAACATGTGGATTATAAAGAAACATGATTCGGATGCAGGTAACAAGCACCAGTAAAGTGCCTTTATAATTGATGCCTCAGTTTTTCACTTAAATATTCTGAGTTCCATCCAGGCAAAGTATCCTTCATGGATGTGAGGGGGAGAGGAGGAAGAACAAGGGGAATCTGGCTCCATCTTGATTAATGCTGTTTGTGTCTACTGTGTTTTTGGTTTTTCTCCAGATTGTATAGCAGAAGTAGCTAAGCTTTTCTCAGCTTCAGGTTGCACTGGGAACATATTATCTAGTTAGGGCTACAAATAATAGAGAGGAGATTAATCTGAACTGGGTATTTTGTGCAGTCTGTTACTGTGGCTATGGGTTCTTGAGAAATTTGGTCCTAGTACTTTCTGATACATTATATTGAAGTGATTTGCATGGATGTTTGCTTGGGGCAAGATAAGAGTACTGAACATGAAGATCTATGGTTTCTACATACATCTTTTGTTTTAAAATATCATATAATGTAGCTGAGGCATGTTTGGTGTTTAGTTAGGCTGGTCAGGCGTCCGTTAAGGGCAGTATGTGCTGCTTGAGTCCATGTTCTCTGGAGTAGCCCTTAGGGCTGGTCTTTAAACTAGAGCAGTGATTGGAGTTGATACAAATTAATTTGCCCTGTATTGTCTACTTGAGGCATGAACATTTCCAAGAAACTTTCTAAAACCCTGAAATGTTTGTTGGTGCATTAATATGATTAGTTTGCCTTCCCTCAGCAGATCTGTCAGACCCCTCGAGCCCAGTGGAGTTTGTGAGGCATGGAGATATTATTCGTCTGGAACATAAAGAGTAAGGATGATTTCTGGGAATCAAAGAGATGGTGTGATTGAACAGAATTGGTGAGAGATTCTTCCTGTTGGGAGACCTGTCAAAGTTTCTGTATATCTCCATTTCCAGTGTGGGATTTGTGGAATTCTATGGTTTATGTTTTTGAAGAGTGTCTTGTTAAATGGGAAACTTTTAACAGAACCACACAACTTCATTAGAAATACCTACCTAAGCAGCAGAGGGATTGTTCAGCTGTGTGAAGTGCAATATTAAGTGTAATTCTTCTGCAAAGAAGCAATTTCAAAGCCATCATTCTCTCACTTGTCCCCACTCTCCGAGTTTTCTAGTCAAACAGAGTGGTTTTTTCCTTTGTCAGTGTACTGGAAGTGTCCTATTCCTTTGTGTATAGCCAGTATCCACCCACTGAAGTTCTCAACAGCACTGAGATCACAGCAGTGAAACACTTTGAACAAAAATGTCAGCTGGTGCCTTCCCTCTCTGTAGGAAGGAGGTGAACCCCAGTGACTTGATATTTAATCTTCATCTCGTCTAATGTCACTGTGCCACAATGATCTGTGTTGTCACAGCTTTGATTTCTTAACAGAAGCTCTAAATTTGTGAGCCTGGAAGTCATGTCATGGTGTATTCAGTATTGCATGTTCACAAATCATTGCTTAGGTTTCCAAAATTATTTTAAGACTTAAAAAAAAAAAAAGCCTCAAATTTTGGGGTTTACTACTGAACATATGATAATGAAGGTGATAAAACCTTGATTAGGCAGTACTGGTTAGGTCTTGCTGAGTTCTCCAGAATGGGAGGTAGAACTGTGGTGCTGAGGAGGAGATCCAGCATGTGGCTCTGGTCTCCTTGCTCAGGAACCTGATCCACAGTGGGCAGCAGCTTCTGTGCAGTTAAGGCTGGCCTGAATGCAGCTGTATTGTTGGAGGGAGTGGTTCACTGAGTGGTTTTGTTATTTTGGTTTTTTTTTTAAAAATGGACTGACCAGGATGTAGCCAGGTTTTTCAGGTTGCTCCAGGTAGCAGTCCCTGCTAGTGTGGAAGGCTGTCTCCACCATGTACAGTTGGTGGTAACGGGGGCCACCGATTCTTCCTCAGTAAATCTGTTCCTGACTGACTGGTACAATCTTTCCCCTCAGAAAAAACAGCTAATTAAAAGACATCAGGATCCTTGCTTTGCTTCTTGCAAGAGCAGGACTGTTAGTTCCACCTTACTTTTCATTTAAAACAACTAGCAAAACTGAAACCAGCTATGTCTTTTCCACTTGGAGGTGGTGTGTTGCAGCTTGAGGGTTGGATATACTCATGCTGTCTTCCTTTCACTGTCAAGTGTGGCATAAGCTCAGAGTCGCATGGTGGGAGGTGGCAGTTTCCCCTCTGTGGCCCCAGTTGCTGTTAAGGCTGCATCCTGCCCTTGTCCTTGCCTGGAATTCAGTGGTCAAAGCACTGGCAGCTGTCTGAGTGGCTCAAAACAAAGTTCTTACCACAAATTGGTTGAAACATAAAAACAATACAATGTTTGACTTTTAATTTCATTTCAGAACTTCTAGAAATCTTCACAGTCACCAGCATGAAGCTCCCCTGACAAGGAAGCATTTTCAGGTCACTGGCTATGGAATAGTAAGTGAATGGCAAGATAAAACAAAAGCGCCTTCTTTTGGGGACAGTTCGTACCATGCCAAGGGGATTTTTTTCTTGCTTTTTTAGTTTGTTTGCCAAGGTGATAGATGTGCATTCTACCATACTCGAGGAAAACTGATTTAGTATGAAATAGCTTAAGTCATATTTAAGGACTATTTAATGTGAACACAGACAAGAAAATAATTTAAGCATTTACTGCCAGTCTAGCTTTGGCAGCATTCAACTCCAGAAATGCCAAACTGAGCAACCTTGAAATTGCTCTGGCAAGTATTATTTTATGTATTTGGCCTTATCACATAGACAGGTGCCTTTTTTTTGACAGAATGATGACAGAGTTTAGAATCATGAAAATGAAATCTGTTTTGAGGGGTGAATTTCCAAACTCAAGGGGCCATTGCCTAAACCCCTCTTGTGAAGCAGCCAGATTATCCCCATTGAAGATGTAACTCTGAGTCACAGTCAGGTATGAATTGGAAACAAAAAATTTAAGGGTAGCAAGATAAAAATGTGTTTGTGAGTAGTTGCTCATGTCTGGAATCGTTGATTCCTGATGGGGAATCTCTTCTGTGCAGTCTGAGTAGCCTGAGCTCCTTTGTTTAGCTTTGCCACTATTAGAATTTCAGAAGTTCCTGTTTGCAGCGCCTCTATGCTCTATGTCTTCTAGTTGGTGGTTTGGGGTGTTTTGCTTTTATTTTGTGTTTGGTTTGTTGTTTGTTTGTTTTTCTCCTATGGTATGTTTGCATGATAGAATGGAACAGGAGACTCCAATGATTTCTGGCGGATTGAAGTGGTGGGCAGAAAGTCTGGGAAGCTCATCAAAGTCCTACGGAGTCAGGTCCGGCTAACCCATGTGGCCACAGGGTGTATATTGGGCTCTTCTGGAAAGACTCTGCCAAAATGGTAAATTGCTTCTCATCCCCCTCCACCCCTGGAAGGACTCGAGCTGACATGTTCCTTTGCTCAATATACTTTTAAATTAAGCAATAACCACATTTCCTCCATTTCTCTAGCTTTATAAAGAATAAAAAGGTAACTAGCACATACCAAAAGGGAAGATCTGAGTTAGGGTTATGAAGTCTGTTACGGTGAAGTTATACAGCTCTGAAAAATAATATCTCTCACTAAGAGATCCAAGAGTGGCATAGTTGTAGATCTTGTCATCTAGCAAGTCCATGAGGGGTTGACAGATGTGTTCTTCAAGGCCCATTTTATCCTTGGGGTTCACAAAAATTGTTGGAAACTAGGGCAGTTCATTTTCCATGGTACAAGCCTCCAAATTTCTTTTTATTGGTATTAATTTATTTTGTGTTTGGAAGACCTTCTATCATTTTTGTATTGCAGCATTTGAAGCGAGGGCAGTGGTAACAAGCTGCTATTAGCAGAGGTCTGGATTTAATATCTTCGAATTGGATGTCTTCATCATTAAAATGAGGTGTATGCAGAGACAGCCAGACTAATGTCAGGCAAGCTGCTGTATCTGCAGAGCTGTACTGTGTGGGATGCTGACATGGATCCTGAAGCAGCAGGCTGTGCTGTCATGGTGCTTCTGTTTCCAGAACAGCCTCCCCTGCTGCTGGCTCAGGTGTCCCTGCTATGGCAGAGAGGGCTTCTGAGGAACCCTGTGGGTGCTGCATCAGCGAGCGCAGGCAGACGCCCCTGGTGACCGCCTGCTCAGGAACACGAGTGCCATTGAGACCTTACCAGTAAGACTGGGCTCATGGGCAAATGGTGTGATTGGCTTAAAAAAAATATAAGATCACTGCCTCCATCAACAACGTTCAAGAAAAGGAGTCTGTTTTTTTTTACCCTGCAAGTGGAGGTTATGGCCACAAAATATTGTTGACAGTAAGAGCTGAGGGGAAAAAGTACTTGTTATCTGCAAGTAGGGATCGTTAGAGTACGTTGGATTTTTATATTTTTTAAAAAAGAATTTAAAAGGGAGTAATCACTGTCCTTCAGAGAATTAAGTGGTGATTAATTAATGGAATTAATTAATTAGTGGAGTTAAGTCTGCTGGGTGGAGATTGGTAGACAATTCCTTATTAATCTGTCATATTACTGCAGGGTTTGACACACTTTCTTCCAAAGTATTTGAAGTGACCAGCTAGAAATAGGGTGACAGACTAAATGAACAGTTAGTTGGTGGTATCCTCTAAAGTCATGCTTTTGTTTCTGTAATACAGCTGCTGCAGGCATGTGTTGACTTAAATTAATGATAGTGATTTTCTTCTGGAGAGACTGTAAGGGTTGACTTGAAGTAGTTTCTGGTTGTCAATGTGTGTCATCTTCAAAAATCCCATTGCTTATGTATAGACATAGGTTTTTTAGTTTAGACACCCAGAGTTAGAAATGGGGCTCAAATATTTAGTAGAACTTTGAGGTTGACTGCCCTGCAAGTCTGTTTTGGTTTCTACATGGTGCTTAGAGTACACAAGAGTGTGTAAGAATGCATCTGCTGGGGTTGAGTGGTATAGTAGGTGTTATGGGGAAGTAAAAAGCTAAATGGGGAAAAAAATCAGACACAAACTGGAAATATTGAGTGGTCTCTTCTAGGGTGGTGGCTAACTACTCTGATGTTCCTTAGGGGTTGGGAACAAGTGGAAGTCACCTGCACACCGTACCTGAAGGAGACTCCCAATTCCCTCTGGAACTTTGAAGATCATATTAACCCTAAGTGTAAGTCATTTATTTCCTTTTCCTTTGAGACTACATCTTGGCTTCCTGTTCAAGAAAGAGATGAACCATGACATGGCAAGAAGAGGCATTCAGTATTTTGCAACTTGGAACTCAGGCATGAACTTGCTTAACTTAGGGCAGTTATTCAGAGATGCATAGCCTTTTTCTACTTCACTCTTTGGGTGTAAGCTGATGATAATGCTTCAAGTGTAGTGGAAGTGTAGACTTTTTAAGGACTTTAAGATCTCCGTGGGTAACAAAAGCATGAAGTTTTGTAGGCACTGCAGTACAGGCTGTTTTTTCACATCATTGATTGAACTGGGAATTACTGTCATTGATATGAGAATGTTGTATGAAATTCAATGATTTTTTTAAAAAAGCTAGGATCCACCCTCTTCTGGTGTATTTTTTTCTTTTTCTTATCAGGAGCATGTTAAATAATGATTTTGCAGTACCATCAAGAAATTAATAGAAGTGTGACAGAGAATGAAGTTTGCCAGTAATGACAGATGGGCCTTGGAGCCTCATCCAGGAGTTAGATGTGTGTCACAGCCTCATTTGGCCTGAATTATTCAGTACAATTTTCATCCCATGAATTGCAGATGACTTCAGCTGAGTTCTGAGTTAAAAAAAAATGGTGTTCCTTATCCTTCCAAAGCAACTATATGGAAACCAAAGAAGAGAAATCCTGAGCTGTTGACTTGGTAGAATTTCCTTCTTCTGTTGTAATGCATTTTACATTCCCACCCTGATGGCTCATTTACAGATAAACAGCAGCCTGTGAACAATATGTCTCTTAATTTCAGCTAGAAATGCAAATCTGTTTATTTCATGGGTTCTATTGTTCTTTCTCCTGGAGGTAAAGGAGGAAATCTAGGAGTACATCAGTTGTTAAATTCAGTGGGAGAGACTTCTGACTGCAAACCTTTGTGTTTAGAATATGAATGAATTGCATAGGGAATTAAAAGAAGTGCTAGAAGCAGATTTGTGGCAGAAGAGAGTTCAGGTTATTATGAAAGAGGCAGATAAAAGTAAACCATACAGATTTCTAATCTATTTTTCTCTCTTCTTCTAAAGTGCCGAATATCAGCCTAGATGTTTTGAAGCCCTCTTTTGCAGAAATTCTGCTAGAATCCCACATGGTTATGATCCGGGTAGGTTATCATTAGTTCTAGATTACAGTTTTCTTCCTCCTTCTCCTTGCATCAAAAATAAATAGTATTTCCTGAGATGTCTGTGATGACTGCAAGCTAGGGCAGAATTTACATGCCCCAGCAACCTACTTGCATTTATACTTAGAAAAAGGGGTGGTCTTGCAGCTGAATCTTCCAAAAGTTTGGAAGCTTTGGACTTGATGCCTGGCTCTGCTGTCAGTGTGATCTAGCTACAGCCTAGTTATCTAATCCCTCCATTGCTGTAATGTGGTTCTGTAAAGGAAAGCTGGAAAGTTTCCCTACCCTTTTTAAAGGGTTTTAAGTATAAATTAGTATTTATGAGACAGGAGGATATTGCTATGGCCAGAGTCAAGAACATTAGCTAAAGAGACATTTAGAAGAACAATAAATGTTTGGATTGAAAATGGGAAAACTGTTTGGGTTTTTCTTAATAAGTTTATCAAGGTGATGTTTTTTCTGCTTTCTTCTTCCTGTGTATTCCTGAATATATATATACATAAATATATCTTTTTATATATATAAGAGCTGAATTTAATATTTTCAAGGTGGACTGCTATTGCAGTCTTTCCCCATGATTGTTCTTTGTGCTCTTGGCCACAGCCCTTCTGCTTCCAGCTTCTCAATCTTTTATCTGAAGAATGAGAAGTTACTATTTTGAGAAAGGGGTATAAGGTTTTATTTGATACTGTTTGTAAAGCTCTTCTCAGATTCTTAAGAGAAAGAAGGTAGTCAAGCAAATTATTATTAATGCTAAGCATTTCCATGGCAACCAGTGAATAATGCTGTCTCAGGTAGGGAAGCACCTGCATGAGTTTCCATGGAAATAATCTTTCTGAGGCTTTTTTTTTTCCCCACAGTGGAGGAAAACCTGTCAAAGTAGTCTCTTAATGAAAAAAGGTCTTGCTTATGCAACATGTGTCCTGAGTGACAGAAAAGCTGGAGAAGAGAAATGAGAGAATACTGCCTCTAATGGTACCTAGAGAACATTTTCACTTGCACAGTAGTATTGAAACATTCATTGTCCTCATTGTGGCCATCTCGGGAAGATGATGTGTTTTGTAGTCAGAAAACAGCCTTTACTCAGGAAGAGTATGTTTAAGAGTATATGTTTGTGTGCGCAGACATTTCTGAGCAGGCTTTGCAGCATAACTGCCTGCTCATTTAA